ATTAATTGGAATTACTGTAATTGCTCAGCACTGGCCCAAAAAGCCAAAAACGTGTGATCCTCGGTTGGATCGGGGCTGTGTAATCATTCGCCTTCCTCCGCTGAAATCGATCCGCAAATGAAAGCGAATCTCATCCATGCTCCACTAAGTGCGAAACTTCCCATCGCTCTCCGCAAATGGGATCAAAGAGCCGACCAAGGGATGCGATCTGGACTGGATGGTCAGTGGTTCTCTGGAGCAAGCGATCCGCTTCGCTGGGTGGCTCTTCTGGGTCGCTGGGATCACCTCCAAAGTGGGTTAGCAGATTCTTCTCATAGGAGACCACTGAAAGATTACAAAACGTTGTACGAATGCAGGAAAACTGAATTGTAACTTTTTTAAAGTTGAAACCATATATATATTTTGAATTTGCTTAACTTTGAAAATATTTACACACCTAGCTATATTTTATAGGTTATTATTGCACTTACTTCAACTTACTTTCAGTTTTATACAAAGCCATTGCAGCTAGAAAACTAAAACAACATTAAATGGATATTGAAGGAATATAAGTGGAGTTTATTTATTTATACTACAAATCCGTAGTATAAAATTCCATTTGGTGATCTATCCTGCTATTTTCATGTAGTACCTCTGCGTAATAGAGATCGCCCTTCAATTTCATTTGCGAGATACCTTTTATAAGTGGGGAAAATAAGTATCTGCGAGATATGCGTGCTGTGGCTGAGTTTTTGCCTCGCGTATTGTTGATTAAAAATAAATTGTCAACTTTGACAATCTCGCGGCAGTTGTATTTATAAACGAAAGGAATTTTCTGCGCAAAGGGGGAATGAAAATTTTGTTTACAATATTTTATCTTTTTTTGTTTGTTATTTTTAGATATCTGCTGTGGCAGACAACAGGGAGACTTGTTTCAGATTTTTCGCAGTGAAAGCAATGGGGGAAAAATTCCATGATATTATATGCTTCTCTACAATCACTCCTAAAGTGAGAGATACGATGCAAAGGCGATCATTCCTATACTACGTACGTCCTCGTTTTGAGTTGAAAAGTGATTAAGCATTTCCAAAAAATTATTAAAATGAAATTTACAAAAGTCACTCCCCGTAAATTTGTCACAGGCAGTAAAGGAAACTGACACAGAACAAATCACGTAAAACGATGGGAACTTTTCAGGTGGGCAGAGATCAACGGTGACTCCGGTCGATTGGTGTTAATCCTCGTGATGATTTGGCGCTTTCAACTGTTTTGGGTTAACTTTGCAGCTGATAAAGCCACGATTTCGAATTGAGGACAGGAAATACATTTTTCATTAACAGAGCCGGTCAGCCAAACCGATTGATTTAAATATCATCATGTTTTTAGACACATCATTGCATAAATAAATAATAAATATTTACAGATGTCTTAAAATTCAATTTAAAACCAACCATATGAATGTTGAATTATAATTATCTCATGGATAAGCATTATTTAATTGAAAGTGTACCTTCCTAGGTACTAACCATAATATTTAACATGTTCCATTCCCATGCACATATCGCATCAATTAGATTCTTGTTAAGACTTCTTTCTCATAGATGTCAGCAAAGGCGAACTAATGTACGATATTTGTGAGGCATTTGGCGTATTGATAATCTTCCCAACACTTCGAGTTCCCGCCGAGGAGAGATCAAAAAACCCATTGGGCGGGAAAAGCAATGGAAAAGCCAATTGAAAACTCATCAAATTGAAATTATCGCCGGCAATTGTGGGACTTTGAATGCATATGGCCCGACTTATAGCCGACCGTTATTTGACTTTCCCAACATATAATAATCATAACTTGAATTGAAAATCACCAGCGCACAAGAGAACGAACCGAAGTCCAATAAGGGCAATCAAACAAGGCAGAACCAATGCGCACACAGCATAATAAACTAAATGGTAAACAAATATTGGAGCTGACAAAAAGACTGGTGATATGGGGTTTTCAAAGGTGGCTTGGTGATATGGGGTCTCCCGACGGTTCTGTGTTTACCAAAATTGTCGCGCAAGTGCAGAGCGAATTGGGTCATCAACTCTACCTGATGCATCCACTTCGATCGGTGTCGTATTTCCATAATTTTCCCCACCACACATCGGATATTTAATTTGTTTAACGCTTAAGACGACTGCCATGCGTGGGCGTTTCCTGATGTGCCACCGATAGATAGCCGGATAGCCAGATAGCCATCGACTTGCTTAATTGTCGTGACAAGTTGACAGTTCGCATGAAAGCCCAGCCATTGTTCGGAACTCCCATCCATATCCATCAGTGTATTAAATTTCGGGCAAGAAGAACTCCTGAAATCAGCTCCATTTGCGTGCACTGCGAAAACAGGGAAATAATCAAAGAAATGCTAAATATAATTAGCAGGGGTATTTGAGGGAAATTAATTATACGTCTAAGAACACTTATTTTCAACTACTCATAGCAAACAGTATAGCTTCCTTTAATATTATGTAAATTTAAATGAATGCGAAACATCTTAATCTTGCACTCTATCAATACAAGATAGACCGTAGTTACTGTCGCATATATGTATCTTTGGCAAAAGAATAATTCTATTTGAATAATTCCTTAAGTGTATGTTTAAACAACACTTACGCGCATTTATCTCGACTGACCCAATTCCGGCTTTTTTATCGCTGTCTTATTAAAAACATCAGACTACCGATCGGGGCCCTGCGGTCTGGGCTGGTCTTTTTGGCCCGACTTCGATGATTCATTTGCGCTTGGTTACACATTCTGCCCGAGGTCCACATGCCATTCCAAAAGAGCCGACGTATGCGTCAGACCCTAAGTATTTACACCAAAAAAAGTCATAATAAATAAGAAGCTTATGGAGCTGGGCAGATAGCTGACTGGGTGAAAATAGTTAGGTGGCAGCTAAAAGCGATTGGGTAACCGCTCAAGGTGGCGGAAATATGGTAATTGAAGTCAATTGAATTGCGAGCACTAAAGTCTTGACGTGTTATTTATGGTCTAGAGATCCTTGGGAGAAACTAGAAGTATTTCTTCTAATAAGCTGTTATTGTTGTAAGCATTCAGCCCATTTAAATGTCGAAACATCCTAATGCCATAACATCCAACTTAGCTTCTGTTTTAAGAGGATCACAAAACACACGTAGCTCCCCCACCGAATTTCCTATAGAGCCCTTTACACCCCTAAGCGCCTAAGAAAAACTCAAGCAGTGACTTAAAAATCTGCGTTCTACCCTACCAACGTGCATAGTGCCTAAGACGTGCCGCTTCCAACCGTTTTATGACCCAACAAAAAAGAAGGTTGACAAAAGGCGCAGTGATTGATGCACTGAAATTGGTGGGGGGCTGGATCCGCCCGATAATGACTTTTTAAATACGTTTCCAATGCGCTAAAAGGGGCAATCATCGCACCGATGACAAAGAACAAAGTGCGCGTAGCTGAGACGCGTTAGGGAGCATTAAAGCGCGCTATTGAAATGTAATTTGCATTCCATAAGCCTCCCGGGGCCAAGGATCACGGAAACGGACAAAAAAATAAAGACTATGATGACATTGGTAAGGAGCAGGGCCCCTAAGGGTTCTCGGATGTGACGATTTATGGCGATTTGATGATGGCAAGCCCATTGAAAATTTGCGCCAAGATGCAGCGTCGCGATCCCCGATCTCAGTTAATGTGCTGATATTATGCAAAGCACTCAGGATCGCTGAAACGCTTGGAAAACACGGGGTGCCGGTGCACGTGCATTGCATCGTTACAGTGAGAGAAATTTGCCTACTTAGCAATCTATTGGTGGTAGAAAGTAGCAACTGAGTTAATCAATGCTTATAAGTAAAAGAAATAAACGATATTCCTCAAAAATGTACAATATTTGAATTACTCATGAAATATCATATTTTTAAATTAAATGGCTCCATTTTTCCAGTGCACTTGCCAGAAATGTGGCATTGACAATGATTAGGCAACATTCGGCAGCAGATTGTCACGTTTCGCTTGCCACAGAGTGCGGTAATCAGTTTCCATGAGGCAGCAGTAGCTCTGGGCGATCGGTAACGGTCCTAACAGGCTTATCGGCCCAAGAACTTCTTACCACCAGCCATGAGAATCCATCGGTGGCTACAGGGTGGCACCACTAACTGGTTGCTGACTTTCGAGTCCGTTCCAACTCATTGGGTTCCTCAGGCGCAACGTTTTGTCACCGCGCGCGGAAACAAAGAGCTTTGTGTCTTGTAACATATATATACATACGAGTATAATGCAGGCGTAACTGGACGATAATTTAATGGTCGGGCTGCATCTGGACTAGGTCTGGGTTCCTATAATCCGTCATGCCTGGCTGCCGATTTACATTAATGCGCCAATTTCTGGGCGAACAATGGGCCAGATACGGATACCGAGACATCCGAGTCGCGCCGACTGTAATTAACATTTCTCGCATTATAATTTGCCCTTTTTTCCGCCATCCAGTCATCAGCAGCCATCAGAAATCGGACATCGGACATCGGACATCGGACATCGGACATCAGACATCAGAGACCCCAGAAAGCCACTGAGTTGGCAATTTAATGTCCGCACATTTTCGCAACAGGAGCGGCAAGTGATCGTTGGCGAAAATCGCTTTGCATTATGGTGCCACTCCGGGTGACTAATAGCAAATGAGGCTCACAATCTCTGGGCAATTTTCCACCTTATAAACAGTATTCCTGTATGTATTAACCAGAAATCGCCAATTAAGGGGAGAAGCAACCTGTATTTACCTTATATGGAAACAAAAGCAGCCTGGCCTTCTTTTATTTTAACAGCATTTTAACAATGCTAAGTATCATATCATATTTGGTATATTTTGTTTATTATAGAAATTTTTATTCTGTGTATGCAAATAGGCGGTTCTACTAAGCTTGGATTTGTGGGGGAAAGCTATTAATAGCCTAATCACAATGCAATTTGCACGACGCCTTCAGTTTATTTTGGAGTCGTGTGTGGTAAACAAGTGCGATGAGACTTTGGGTCTTCTTATCATTGTTGGGACTCAATATTCATTTGGAAGTGCTTGCTAATGGCATTGGTAAACATAAATTGTGTGTACAATATGAATTTATTGTAATGTTTAATGTACATTGATCTGTAGCAAATCGTTACTTTTTGGAAAAGCAGCGCTTTTTGTTGGAAATTCTACATCATGTTCACGAACCTTTGATGAACGAACAGTGGCGATCGCTGGGAAAGCAATTGGTGACTGATAAGGAGCAGTATGTGGTCGGTATACGGAATGAAATTAAAGATTAAATCAAATGAAATTAATTCAAATATTACAAACCTCAGGTCTACAACGAGCACATGAGCGATTTTTATAGAGACTTCAGTTTGGGAAAACTTTTACACCGAAATGTGTACTACAATCCACTCTATGCCGATCATTTTCGGCAGATGCTGGGACTATATCATTATTTCTACAACGCCAGGGACTGGTATACCTTATGGCAAAATATAAGCTGGGCCCGAGTTCATGTGCATCCGGGTATTTTTGTCCAGGCTCTGACGCAATTGATCCTGAAAAGGGAGGATTATCAGGCCCTGATTATGCCCAAGATCTATGAGTTGTGGCCAGAATCGTATCACGATGATTTAACCGTAGGAAAGGCGAGAAATTTCAATTTCGCCAGCTGGATAAGGTACGAGAATATATCCGATATACAAGAAGTCCGTCCGCAAAAATTGGAACCCTTAAACTTGGAAGGTGATCTACGGGGTTCCATTGAATGGTTTCAGGCTATGGCCGATGTGAATATTCTAAGAATGAATCAAGCGAAAAGGAGGAACAAGCTCGAGCACTTGCTGGAGGATATTGATTGGCAATCCTATTGGTATAATCTGAATATGGGAGTGGTTTTGACGGGCGAAAAGTCGGATGACTTGCGCGAATGGAGTTACTATCAGCTGGGTCAAATACTGGCTCGCTTTAAACTGGAATGTTATGGCCAAAAGCTGACTTATAAGAGGCTGACAAAGAAACATTATTGTGGCAAAAGGGAAGAACCTGCAAAGACGGCCCAATTTATAGTTAAAGCTATATCAGAATTGGAGGCAAAAGTAGGGGATGCCATTTCGTTTCGAAGTATTCAGCTGACCAATGGAAGTCGTATCAATCTGCAGGAGAACAACAATTGGCTTATTGGACTTCAAGAACTATTTCTCTATGATTGGACACAATTCGCTGTGGACAAATCTATGCAACCAAATCTTTTACTGGACATTCGAACTATAGTGAGATGCGAGGACTTTTATTACTACGCCGAGCGATTACTGGATTCCTATCGCTGGTATCGTCAGGTCTTCCAACCCAATAACCAGAAGGCATTTATTCCCAGCGACCTTCGCATTGATGATGTGCAGATAACTCCGCTGATCACCTACGAGCAGCCAGTAGATGTCGATATCAGTAATATTCTGCCCGCCAAACATTTTTACCTTGCAGGGCAGTTTGTGTGGCCTTTGACCTTGCAACACCGGCAGTTTCGACTGCAACATAAGGATTTTTCATACAACCTGCAAGTAACAAGCAACAAAACGCAATCCACAATTTTCCGGGTTTTTCTCACAACTTCAGAGCGTGGAAACATTCAGAGAGAGCCGTTCTATCAGCTCGATTCGTTTCTGACTGTGATATACCCAGGATTGAACCGAATAGCCAGGGAATCTAAGCAGTTTGCCGGCCTGGCTGGAGATCACATCTCCTACACCGAGCTCTACCAGTTTGTTAAACTAGCCGAGAGGGAGGAATTCGACTTCCCCCTTAATATTTCAACTCCCAATTGCGGATTCCCCAGGCGTCTGATTTTACCACGCGGGGGTACGGCGAATCCCCTTAAATTGCGACTTCTGATCGTGGCCACCGTCTATGACTTCAAGGCTCGGCGGGAAAACGAACTCAATTGTGACTTCAGCAGGGGCGTCAGTCGATGGGATGAGCTGCCCTTGGGTTATCCCTTTGAACGCTTCCTGGAAGACGACACCCAAGCTGTGGAAATATCCGGGGACCATGTGTACTGGAAGGATGTGCACATCCTGCATGAAAGTCCCTAGAAATGTTTTTTAAAATGCAGCTTAAATGCTCACACTAATTCACAATTTTAAGCTGTAAGCTTAACCTTATCTAGATACATTTTTGATAATTAATTAAACAGCAGCAGTAGGTGTTCTTAAGAAAAAGCTTCTAGAATACATGCATTTAGGTGCATTGGTCTTTGCAAGCTAAGTAATGGTGCAATTTATTTTATTTTATTTTGATGACTCCCACAAAAGTCTACCATACACAGTGCCGTTTTAGATGTCGTTAGTGGAGCTCCATAAATATACCCATACTACCCTATACTACTGCTTTCCTGCCTATCCCCACTTCAGTCCTAACAAATAAACCCTTTAACGGATAGTGACGCCAAATTTGGGTAATTACAAGGCATGGAGGAAATATTAAGAAGACGGACCACTCCACATGGGGTCTTAAAACCTCGAATTCAACATGTATACAATATTAATCAAAACCACACTGAGCATTCGTGCCGTAGATATTCACAGTCTAAGAAAATGATTCATTTATGCTTAGTAAATAAATGGAAGTTGCATAATATCAAACAGCCCCTAAATGAGATGCCAATATATGTAAATCATTTCTGAATAAATACGCTTTTCAAATCGTTTCTGATTAAGAATAATTAAGCAACTACTTCAGGAACAGAGTATAAACTGTTCTCAGTGCACAAGTCTCAAAAGCGTAGAATCAAAACAAAAATTAAAAGCGAACCGTAATATGTGTATGTCTGTATGAGGAGGAAAGGGCCGGTGTGGGCGAGGGGGGTGGCTCCCCCGGGGGCAAGGGGCTTGGAGACGACGTTGCATGGATGCAAAGCACTTTGTATCAAGCCAAAGAACGGTTCGGAGGAGGGGGCGGGGTCGGCGAGACCGCTAAACTTGTTATACGCAATCGAATCGAAAATATGGGCGAAATAAGGTGAGACGGGGGATGGGGGATGGCTGTGTATCTAGAACTAGTTTTCATTTTTTTTTTTCGATTTGATTTTTTCTCTTTCTTTGGGCCGATGACGCGGTGTAAAAGAAAATATTGGACACCTGCACGGTTTCGTATGGCAGCCAGGCAACAACTACAACAACCACACGGCGTATGAGGGACAAGTGAAGCCCGAATAAAAATTAAGTAAACGCACGGACAGAGGCCAAGAAACAGAGCGTCGATGGCAAAGCCACTGAACAGATAACACGTGGATCGAAGCGTGGAGGGATTTCGAACTGCTCGAACTCCAGATACCCTTCCAAGTAATGCAGTCGCTTGCTACAAATACCAGCAGAGTTCATACAATTACTAAGCTTTTAGTAATTCTTATACTGTTTTCCTAAAAAACTTATCATGTTACAATATTTTTACAAGCACTGATTACAATTGCCAAATATATCTTAATTTGCGCCTACTTTTAACTTTAAACAAACTCATCATACTTAAATATGCATGAAGAAATACCAGAAAATGGTCTAGTACTTAGGCAATTCGCTTAAATTGCTCTGAAAAATGTGTGTTTCGAATAAATAATAAATACAAATATTAATAAAAAATTATCCTAAATATTTCAGTTTGATACAAATAAACAGAGAGTGCTATTTAGTCAAACAATCGAATAGCCTAACGTTTTAAATACATATTATTGAATACATATATTGAATCATAATCTGAAACGCAGATTCTATAAACTCACCATTATAAAATGCAATCGAACTGGGGAACACAGGCCACGTAGAGATGAACCTTGAATACTAGGGTATACCTACATATTTGTAAGACTAGGCAACCGTAACGCGTCTTAGATTTTCTTCAGCCTCCCTCTCGCTCCCGCAATGGTCTGTCCCACTTCCTCCAGCCATCCCAATTCTAGGCCCTTGGCTTAGGTAGCTGCAAAACGATGTCTGTCCCGAAAACCCAGAAAGAAAGATAGAAATAATAAAAAGGGGCAGCCAAGCGTAGATCGATAGAAAGGGGAAGGACGAAAACTAATGTCCAGGCTTTTATTTCCAAGAAATTTAAAACTTTGCGAAGGAGCGAAGAATCCGAAAAAAGGAAAAGAAAAATGGTGTCGGGGTGTTCGGAATAAGATAGGACCGAAACACTTGAGAACACATGGCGGGGGGAATGGGGAATCGGAGTTGAAGGATCTGGAACCGCAGGTAGAAGACCTAGTAATGGGTTCTAATTTTGTTCTCTTATTTTTCCCTATAATAATTTATTACGCCCAAATTGAAGCGGGAAGCAAATAAAAAACTTTGCCCAGTCAAATGGTTTCCGATGAAAACTTTTGCCAACTAAGGGATAAAACCATAAAATGCCCAACGACAAAAGACGTGTGTTGTCTGCCATATAAGGTGATTCCAGCTGAAGTGCATTTTGTCAGCTTAACTTCAGTTGGTCAGGCTATAACGTCGCCCGTTCCCGTCGGTCCTTCTGTTTGCATAACTGTATACAATCGGCTGAGAACTGTCGGCACTCAGAACTTGATTGCTTTTTGAACTTTCCGCCGAGCTCCCAGCCCCCAGTTCCCCAGTCCCCAAACCCCCAACTCCCCCACATCCCTCGCTCAACTTCAACAGGGTCTTTGCCATTTATGCATAATTAATAAATTGCCCTGTACGCAAACGAAGACGTTCGTCGATTGCAGCGATAAAAGTTGCCCATCCACTTTCAATCCGACGAGACCTTATTAAAGATCTCGAATTCGTTTATGCGCTTCAGGAAATATCTGCAACAAATATCTATACAAAAGTATACTCTATGCACAAAACACAAATGATTCGTAATACATTTTCCAAACTAAATCACTGGCATTCCATTTTAAAGCGTATATATATTGTATTGAGTTATGACATTTTTTTCCATTTTTGTACATTATATTTGCAATGATGCCCTTGCATTATTCCCAAAAACGGAGTCTTTTATCAGCGATGACTAATAAAAATAGCTTTTTGATAAGCCTAAGCTCATTTCTAATCTGCTGAGAGAGAGCTCATGTCGTGAATTGTTGTTCGTATCTCAGATTATTTTTGACCCTTATGAATATGTGAATATAGCGATTATGTCGACTTAATATTTAAAAAGGCGTAGAAAGAATCAAGCACGAACTTCATAAGCTAAACGTATTTTAAGCTATCGAAAGTAGTTTTTGTACTACTTTAAAAGATGCAATTTTACCTATTTACGTTCTTATTGATTATAAAGTTTGAATTACCAGTTTCCCTAAAAAGTTGTACTCACTGATATTCATAGTATCTCATACATATATCATATTATTTATTTAAAATGAAACCTTCAAATTGAGTATTCTTATTATTATGCGAAATGAACAACAAGAAGACACTTTTGTGCGGAACATAGTCTCACTCGAGTGAGTGCATCACCACCGCCTGGCAAGCTGATCCTTTGTTTTATTCCTTAGGTGTGGGCGATCGGGACTTTCAGTCCCATCGAGATCGGGATAATGGATCGGAAGTATTCCCCATGTTTGCCGGTTGCCGTCTTTTGTTTCGCTCCAGTCGAATGTGATGAGCGATGGGAGGCGTTGGTGGCCTCTGTCTTCTGTCCTCTGTCTTCTGTCCAGAGCCTTGTGGTTTATCGTTTGTGGGCAAGTCTCAAGGGTTGTCCAATATTTCACCATGTCTGACAGCTGTTCACATTCTCCGGGCAGTGAAAGTGGGTCACCGTTGGCGCATTTTAATGGCCTTGTTGGGGTAGGTGATTGTGGATGTTTTTGTTTTGAAACAAACTTAACTGGGCGATTGCTGAATAATCGAATTGAAATGCGAGAAATGTTAGAATTCAAAACTGCACACACAAAGTTGTGCAATTAATATTTCTCCTTGAACCCCAACAAGGCACACATATGTACATTTATTTTATTATTCTCAGTAAAAGGAGATTTATTGTGCGCTATCGCTAAAAAGTACGCAGAGGGACAAGGGACAAAGCTATAGATTCGCTTTCTTTATAGTTGTAATCACGAAACAGACACATAAATGTGAAAACAAAAAGAGTATGTACTGCACTTGTGTCATTAAAAACACTATATCTGTGTGCGCTTCACATGCTGAAGAAAGCAACAGACTTATGTTACTTTTATATCCATTTTATATCCACAATTTGCACGAAAAGTGTTCGCATAGGCGTTCATCCGTTCATCTGGCAAATAATTATCAAAAAAGTGAATATGATCATTAGCTCATCCATGGCGTGGCCAGTTGGCAAAGTGCCAGATTTTATAGCGCATGGAAACTCGCTCAATGAGAGATGATAAAAATAATTTTCCCCATTGGTGTCATTCTCTGTGGGGGAAGTTAGTAAAAAAACAAAACTTTTTTAGAAGCGTACTATCTAGTGGTAAAATGAAAGTTCACAAAACCTATAAATTTTGGAATCGGAACAGCTCAGGCCGCTGTAAAAATTATACCAGATCTGGCGCAAATCAAGGCAATCGAAGTGCTAATAAAGAGCAATTGAAGTCTGAGCGCTAAAAAGATAAAGATAGGAAATTAACAACTTTATTTATATGAGCGAAAGCATTAAACGTGTAAACAACATAAACAATAAAAATGTGCAAAGCATAAGCAACTTAACAAGAAGTTGACATCCTTGGATTCGATTTTATTTACAGCTGGGGGCTTGACCAACTTGCACTGCTGCAATTAAAAACATATTGGCCAATACTGGTTGGCTGCATATCGAACGGTTCTGGGGTTTATCGCCTTGAATTCTACATGAAACTTGTGCGACTGAAGGTTGACAATTTATTGGCAGCTCCTCTAATTGCTTTGGAATATCTATTACATAATCTAATTTATTCTGGCTCTCCAGTAGTAAGTTCTTAAGTTTAATTAGTGATTTTAGGTCCTATTTAAATTTACTTATTTGGTGGGTGAAATTGTCCTGAAACTCTATTAAATTGATGACTTTAAACATCACAGAAACCGCTCTGTAGCGAATATTTATGTATGCCCAGACGTAAAATAAACAATATTTCACTAGCACAAAA